TCCAAATGTCATTAAAGGAGAATTGATGAAAGATTTCCAAGGTCTTCAACCAATGTATTGCCCTGTTTAACACACAGTCTTTCAAATCTTGGCTGTTCCTTTCCTTATCTTGAAAAATTCTGAGATTCCTTTCTTCCCAAAGAGTCCAAGTCAAAGCAGCACGAGCACATCTCCACATAATTCTCCCTATTTTTGTAGGCCAATAAAAGGTAGAATGGTTGAAGAGCATGTGAGTTTCTGCTGGTAGACTCCAACTACCCCCAAACAACGAAAGTAGCCAAGCCCAAAGGTCTGCAGAAAAGGGACAAGCCCTACAAGCTGGAAAAAAATCCCCCACCACACGTGTGGCCGCACTGCCTTGTACACTCCATTTCCAACAACTCATTAAGGCCTTAAGAACCACCAGATTCCTAAAAGAATTATATAAGCCCATGCACTTTTCTCCCTTCATCAAGACCATACCATCGCATATGATTTTCATGACTCCACCTACAACAAAGATCTTATAACTCTTACAGTCCAACTAGCCAAGTGATATTAGATTCTTACAGTCCAACACTATCTTCTTCCCTTTGTTGTTGTTGAACCTTAACATCCAGAGTTAGGGGTGATAGACATTTAGTTCATTTCTGATGTTTTTCATGCTGGCATAGTACTCTTCTAAGGTTTTACTCCCTTGTTGCAGATCAAAATACTCCTAATAGAGCTGATATACTCTCGTAGTGATATCTTGCCCAGAATAAAGCTTCTTGGCATGTTCCCATATGTCCTTAGTTGTATCTAAGAACATAAAATTGGCACTTATTTTAGGTTTCATACTATTCCATAACCATGTCATGATCTGAAGAGTCAGCTGGTGGTTTATCTTCCTTCACATGCTTCACTTTCCTCTTTGCCTTGAAAAAACTTCCACTGACTTGGCCCATGATACATAGTTCTCACCATTAAGTTTAATTGAAGTCATCTACACACCCAGATAGTCAAAGGGAATCACCACACTAGGTTTCTGATCACTACAACCATCTCCAATTGCTGCCATGATGCCCTTCCAATGCTACTTCTAATCTGAATTCCCAGTCGCCAACTAAGTACTGTTGTCAAGAGTTTGATGTTTCAGACACTACAGCAGTCCCCAAACACAGATGATAGACTCACAACAAGTCACAACCAATCACCATTGTTCACAACCAACCACAATCAATCAATCCCCAAACGCACAGATGTCCCAGACACTACAACCGTCCCCAAACACAGTTGATAGGTACACAAACTTTTGTTCTTGTTCACACCACTAATGATTTCACAAAACCATAAATCACACTGACATTAATTCAGCAACTCACTAACCACATACAAGCCCTCTTGAAGCTGCTCAATAGAGGTTGAACATCACAAGCACCACCACACAACCATAGCTGTCACACATGGTATAGATTTGTTTGACCTTTTCAGAAGGCACTACAAGTCCAAAGAAAACATCAACTACTACCACTGTAGTAACCTGTCATTCAATTCAGGTCACTTGTGACCAACAAAGGCTTCAAAACAACTACAGACCCACATAAAAGGGTCAAACATACCCTTACACCATTCAGCCACTGTAAGCACAGCCTGTTATTGGACCTTTTTCCAAGAACCAAGGCTACAAACAACCTAGTTCTCTAGGTTCTGATCAGTCCAATAAGATTTTGAAGGCTTTCAACCCAAAAATACCAACAGCACAAAAAAAAGGTAACCAACCTCTAATGGAGAGCTTCAGTCGACCATCCACTTACTTCTGGAGTTGTTTTTCTTGAAAAACAATCAAGTTCTACGCAGAGGAAAGACTGAAGTGTTCTCAGACCTAGGTCGAATCTGTGTTCTCCGTTTTCAACCCATAAAGAAGAAAAAAAAATGAGGTCACGACCAGAGAGGAGCAGGGGAGGAGATTTAGAGAGCAACGTCCTGCTGGTTTAGCCATTCGACCATAATATGGATTAGGGAATTAATTAAGTACAAAGACTAAACTGTCCCCACTTAAGTATGGGACAGGAAGTCTAATTAGAACTGCCACATAAGCACATAACTTAAGGTGGCTGGAAAAGACTAATCTACCCCTCATTCGGCTAACTCTTACAATATCAAAATATTTCCCCTTGGAATAAACATACAACATCTGAAATCTAAAACTCACTCATTTATAGAAGAAATGTGCATGACTTTAAAGATTGTGAGAACATCTCCCTTGTCATCCAATGCAATTGCCACACTTCCAAATTCATCATCACTCATTTTCCATACAACACAATCTCTTTTCATGTGACTAAACTCTTTGCACCTATAACATTATACCTCACCCTTATTTCTAACTTTAGATCTAGGCATACCACTAAGACTAGCAATATTTGACACGACATGTGAACACAACTCTAACACAACACGAAGTTAGTGGGCTTGGGTTGACTTTAATTGTGCTCGTGTCAAAATTTTGTCAACCCGTTTAACCCGATTAATAAACATGTCAATTTCGAGTTAACCCACTTCACTCTAAGCGTTGTTAAACCAAGATATCCACCCTCCTCTATCATAGGGAAAAGTTCCTCTACCACCAAACCTCTCAATATGTAATTAAGAATGTATATCTTTTGTTGTTATATTTTAAGTAATTTTACAAACACATTATGCACACCAGCCTGGGAGCTCTGATTCTACTTTGTTAGACTAACCACTCACAGGATAAAACCAATAAAGTGATTGAATGAAATAGCAAACAAAAAATCTAATAACATTAATAAGGAAATCCAAACAAAGACAAAAAAGAGAACAAGTAATATCAACAAAACAATGGATTTAGGTGGTCGATCCTTACCATCTATGCCTAGGGATGAAACCGTTCTTCACTATAAAAGAAAATGAGAAATAATATACAATACCTTTACCTTGCAACCTAACTTGTTCACCTACCTACTCTACTCCCTATACAAAAATAAAATATAAGAGAACTTGCTCTTACACCTATCACATTCTTCTCAAAACCTCTCTTGTTTTCTTTTTTTTCCTAAACAATAAACCAGAAAAGTTTTCCCAAAACAAACCTTTCATAAGTAAAACCTGGACCACACCCATCGTTAGATTATAAACTAATCCAACGGTTGAGTTCTAAAACTTTCCTTATTATTTTTCTTCGTTTTAGGATACCTGTAACAAGTAGGAGAGCACGATCTTGGTTTTGCCCTCACCATATCGATAGAGGCGTCTGCGTTCGGATCTTATCTACGCCGGTTGTAGATCTTCTATGCAGTGCCTGATCTATATAGTGATGTCAATTTCTCATGCAAACCTAATCTAGGCCGGTTGAAGGGCGGAGAGAGAGAGAGAGAGAGAGAGAGGAATGGTGATGTAGGTTAGGGTTCCGAAATCCTTCGAGAAACGATAAATTTGTAAAAGGATAGTCGAATTACTCGATATTGATTTGGAGGATTTTGGCGGGGATGTGTTTAATGACCGATTCCTCTCAAAAAAAAGAATCGTGGACGCAAATGGCCGGAGATGAAAACGCACAGTTCATTCGGTTATTGATATAAAACGCGCATGGTAAATTGGGGTATAATCGAACCAATAATTTGATAGGTTCGATTAAAATATGGCAAATTTATTAAAGTAACTCTATCGTTTAGAAAATGAAGGGTAAATTTCTTAAATTACCGTTATGGTTTAGCTAATTGACTAAGTGTTTGAAAATTCATTAACACGTTATTTCTGATAATTGACTAACTCTACCCCTATAATTAGCATCCGTTAATGCTCCATCACAATTAATGCACATTTGACCCCACGTGACCTATACATTTTTTTTAAAACCCAATATTGCCCTCGTACCCTTAGCCCCCACTCTCTCTTTTCTATTACCTCCCCCTCCGCCTTTGTCTCTTTTCGGTCTCTCTCTCCATTCTCAATCTGCGAATGCAAATAGATACCGATCATCGTTGCTTAGCAAACCCACCTTTGGCTTGCTAACGCCTCTAGAAATGGTGGAAACGGATCGTTCATCTATGCCACTGCTCCACTTATACCGATCATCGCTGGTGAATAACAGCTTCAATCTTGCTCTGCTCTTGCTTGGAGTCATCGAAGTGACCAAGATTCTGCATCTTTTCATATTCGACGGAGCCTAGATTGTCGAGAGCATCAGCGAGAACCATTGTAGTTGTTGGTGAAGTCGGACCAAGAAAACCAATCTTCGTAGTTGTTGCATCATCGTCGGTGCCTCAGTTTAAAACCTTCCCCTTCGTCTTCATTGTATGTACTAGAATACGCCACTCGAAAATCTTCATCAATTGTTCTCGGAATCTCAAATGGCGAAAAGAGTTGGTCTTCATCAATTCAGTTTGCAGACAAGTTTCAGACAAAAGTTGTAGTGGAGCGGAGAGAAGCCGGTGCATGGAGAAGAGAGAAGTCGAAAGTTGTAGCGAAGCGAAGAGAAGCCAGTGTGTGGAGGGGAGAGAAGTCAGACCAAGAAAACCAATCTTCGTAGCTGCAGCATCGTCGTCGATGCTTCAGTTTAAAACCTTCCCCTTCGTCTTCATTGTATGTACCATAATCCGCCACTCGAAAATCTTCATCAATGGTTCTCGGATTCTCAAATGGCGAAAAGGATTGGTCTTCATCAATTCAGTTTGCATACAAGTTTCAGACGAAAGTTGTAGCAGAGCAGAGAGAAACCGTGTACCAAACCCATTTGATTTGAGTATGAAGCCGGTGCGTAGAAGGGCTGCCATCAAGTAGCGAACAGAGCACCCATCTGTATCCAAGTGCGTGGAGGGGTCCGCGCGTTGCTGCAACTTGCTACAACAACGGTGATGAAACAGGGACGAGGGTGAATGGGGGAGAGAGAATGAAGGGATGAATAGAAAAGGAGAGAAAGAGAGGGAGGGAGCCCTTCATCGGTGGCTATCATCACCTGCGACGACTATGCCGAGAGGGAGAGAGAATGAAGGGCTCATCGCCTCGTCGAGCAGTCTTCGGGCAAAACAACAATGGCCACAATCATTCTCTCTCATTCATCCCTTACTTCCTTCGAACGAAAAACAGCTACGATGGCACCCCTCTCGATGATTATCCAAGCCAAACAATAGATTCTCTAGTAGGCAAAATCCGATCTTATGAAAGGGGTTTTTAGGTGCAAAAATTATAGGGATGTAAGTGTTGAAATCACTGAGTTCAGTGTTTCTTTCCAATTTTCTCTGTTTTATTTTAAAAATTTGAAGAAGAATAAAGGGTAAAAGAGTCTTTTTTGCCATTTTGTTAACAGACACTAGCGACAAGGGTAGAGTTAGTCAATTGTTAGAAACAGTAAGGGTAGTGTTATTCAATTTTCAAACAGTAAGGGTACACTTAGTCAATTAGCTAAACCATAAGGGTGGTTTAAGAAATTTACCCATTAATTAATTATATTTTTATTGTTTATATATTTATACTGTTTTAAAAAGTACGAATAGCTTTAATAATATTTTTGAAATTTTTTGAGGACGAAATTTATTCCTCTATGTTTAAATTTATTATTTTTTAAAAAATAGGACAAATAGGGTAATTGGTTATTGATATTAAATAACTTGAAAAGGGGTAATTTTAAAATATTCAATGCATTCAATTCCCTCTCATCAAATCTAAAATTTAAGGCATTAACTTGCATTCACTTTCATTGAATCCTATATTTAGAGTATTTTTTGTTTCTTATCGTCATTAAATTATATTAATTAAATCCATGTATAATAAATTTATAATTTCAATAACACAAAAACTTATACTTTAAAATATACCTCAAAAAAAGTATTTTCATCTAGGTGTTGATAAGAAATCAAATCATTTTGGCTCAACTGGGACAATCCATGTTGTCACAATTAAATAATAAAATTTAAAAATAGATAAAATGCAAAAAATATAGAAATTTAAACAAAAATGGGAACACTTTTAACATCAATATTCTGCATATTAAACAAGAATGAGTATGATAAATAATAAATGATTTTATTAATGATGGAAATGTAATGTAAAATGTAAAACTAATTGAAAATAAAACTATTTTCCTATTTTCACTCATTAAATATCATATCTAAGGTATATTCTCTCATTAAATCATATATTTAAGATATATTTTTTACATCATTCAATTCTACTAATTAAATCCATAACATTAATTTTGATAGTATAAAAATAAATATTTTAAAAAGTGAATTTAAAAACAAAACCATTTTCTTCCCTCCCGATGGTGGGTAAGCAATCCTACCATGTGGGGTTAAATGGGTTAATAAATAATATCATAATTAGATAATAAAATAAATTAAATATATAATATAAATAAAAATAAAAAGAATTGGGCATATCTCTAATATTGTATATTCATTATACTAAACAAAAAAGGTATTGATGGAGGAAGATTTGACCCGACCCCTTGGCCATGCGACACGTGGAAGCAATGACCTGGCAGAAACGCCAGCTCGGCACGACAGCAGGCCCACAACCCGAGCTCCGAACTAAAGAGCCGAGCTCCCTCGAAGGAACCTGCAACCCGAGCTCCGAACTAAAGAGTCTCGAGCTCTCCCTTCGAGGTCCTGAGCCTTACAAGCACCAAAGGCAAAAACCCGAACTGCCCGCCCAGGGACAGTTCGGGCCATACTTCTATCTGAACTCAAAACTTCACCTCGCGCACCACTTCGGCTCCAAGTCGCCTGACTGGACAGACCGTACCTAACGCCTAGGAGACCGTACCCGTAGGTGGCAAACCTGACTGCTTAGGGGATTGACACATGACAACCGCCATCCAACGGCCACTTGCCACCGCCATCCCAGACGGACAGAGGCGGCCCTGGCAACTGACAGTGGAGGTTATGACACCCGAACTGACAACTAGCAGTGGAGGTTATGACACCCGAACTGGCAACTGGCAGAGGAAGTGACCCGATCTGGCAGAGGTAATGATGCCCGAACTGGCAGAGGCATGGAAGTGAGTGTACAGGGTAATTATAAAAGGCCCCCATCCCACAAAGAAGAGGGTATGTGATTATTGCGTTTTTTGGTCTTAGAATTCCCCATTTCCCTTGCCTTCTGAAGAACACTAACTTGAGCTTAAGAGTGTTCCAACCGGGTTCCTCCCTGGAAGCCTCCATTTCCTTCCTTGTTTCAAGCACCTCCGATCTCGTCAGAAATGAGGTAACCGACAGCTAGGACAGACCAGTGTAGTTCTCCGTGAACTGGGATGAAGAGCCCTGGATCCTTCACGTACATGGCTCCTCAAACCAGCAAGGTAGCGGAGCCGGTGTAGTTCTCCGCGGTCCGAGTGGCACGAAACTGGAGTACGCACTATGCTTTGAGTTCGCGGCATCCAACAATGAGGCAGAATACGAGGCGTTGATAGTCGGGCTAGCCCTGACGCAAGAAGTAAAGGAAAAAAATATAGTTATCTGCAGCAACTCCCAGCTCGTGGTCAACCAAGTTACAGGGGAATACGAAGCCCGCAAGCCATCTATGATCGCCTACTTGGAAAAGGTAAAAGAGGCACTACTTAGCTTCCAATCACACTTCATCAAGCAAATCCCAAGGTCAGAGAACACTGAGGTCGACGCCCTGTCCCGGCTAGCCAGCACCAGTGACAACACTATGAGAACTATGTACATAGAAGAGTTACCTCGGCGCAGCATTCTCCGGGGGCAGAGGAGGTCGCTCCTGTCGCCCAAGCAGAACCGAGCTGGATTGATCCACTCGCGAGCTTCCTGCTACATGGAACCCTCCCCGAAGAATGCAACGCCACCAGGAGGGTAGAGCGTCAGGCAACCAAGTACGTCATGATAGACGGATGACTGTATCGAACATCCTACACGCTCCCCTACCTGCGCTGCTTGCGACCTCCCGAAGCTGAGCTCGTACTCCACGACATTCATGAAGGCCTATGTGGCGGACACTTGGGGGGAAGGGCCGTCGCTCAGAAGGCACTATGACAGGGGTACTATTGGCCAAAAATGAAAGCAGACGCCATCGGGCTAATAAGGAAATGCGAGAAGTGTCAAAAGCACGCCAGTATCCACCATCAGCCCGCCGCCGACCTCAAGTACCTCACCAGCCCATTGCCCTTCGCACAATGGGGTATCGACCTGCTCGGACCATTCCCGCCAGCAACAGGAGGAAGGAAGTTCCTAGTAGTGGCGGTAGACTACTTCACCAAGTGGGTTGAAGCTGAAACTCTCGTAACCATCACAACTCGAAATGTCCAGAACTTCTTCTAGAAGAACATAGTGTGCCGCATCGGGCTACCTCGGGTGCTGATCTCCGACAACGGCAAGCAGTTTGAAGACATCAAATTCCAAGAGTGGTGCCAAGGCATGGGGATCCGACAAAACTTCACATCGGTTGCGCACCCACAAGCAAATGGTCAGGCAGAAGTCACAAACAGAGCTATCCCTCCGCGAACTAAAAGCCAGGCTAGACCAAGTTAAAGGACTATAGGCGGACGAGCTACCCAGTGTCCTATGGGCCTACCGAACTACAGAGAAGACCGCCACTGGAGAAACT